ATTTTAATTAATAATCCAAGATAGTGTCAATTTGTGATTTTAATTTATTTTAAAAATTAAGATTAAACATTAGGTATAATATTAATGTTAAAAATAAATTATATTTTTATAATTTTTTTTATAAATTAATAATAAAATCATATAATAAGTACACAGAATATAAAAATCTAAGAAATAAAATATTTTTCCTAACGCATCTTCTCGCCGCCGTTCCTTTTCCTTGTACTTGACTTGATTTCACATTGAGGCCAACAAAGACCATAAAATCTACGGCACTCATTACGCGGGCCCCACTTATTTCCTCTGAACATCAACAAAAGATTTTCGACACGTGGCACCATAGCTCTCATTAATTCTCCCCTGTTCATTTCTCCCTCCCTTTTTTTTTTCCCTTCCGTCTTAATAAACGCCCCTGTAGGCTACAGCAGTTCTTTGTTTTTCGTTTTATCCTCTATGAAGTTCCAAAAGTTATCATCTGAGAAACTGAGGGCGAAACCCATCAGCTGAGGTATGATCACGATCATGATCTTAATTTTTATTTTTTTGTTTTTATTAAGTTAGCTTTTAGAAATGTTTCTTTGTCTTTGATCATCTGATGTTTTTCATGTATGTATCATCAAAATTGTTGGATTTTCTTCTTCTTTTTAAAATTTTTTTTTTTCTGACAAAATTTCTTTTGTATGTGTTGAAATTTGATTTGTTTGAGTTAAAAAGTCTATTTTTCTATCTGGAGCTGCTTGATTTTTCTGGTGAAGTAAATAAATGGGATGATAACTCTGTTTTTGTTTCATTGATCATTTCTACACCCCAATTTCAAGGTTTGAATTTGAGTTCATTTGGACTGAAAAAACAGTTTTATTTAGGTTTGATGAAATGGGTTTGCTTGTTTTCAATAAAAGAAGTTGACTTTTTCCGATTCTTTTATTGGGAATTTTGTTTAATGAAATGGGGTTTGCTTGTTTTCAATTTTTTTTTTTAAAAAAACGCTCCTTTTTCTGATTCTTTTATTTGGAATTTTGTTTAATGAAATGGGGTCTGCTTGTTTTCAATAAAAAAAAGGCTCTTTTTTTCATTATCAGTGTATATACAGCTTTTGTTTAACAACCCAGGAAGGGACAAAATGAAGAGGAGGGGAAATAATACCATGGGTGGGTTTAGAGGTTATTGTTTTAAATTTTTATTGTTTGTGCTCTCTGCCCTCTGGGTCCCCATTTCTGCAAAGTTCTTAAGGCATTGACACATGGATTGTGTTGCCCCTCTAGTCCCTTGACGTGTTACGACACTCTTTCCATAAATTCTGTATTTTTAGCCACACTCTCATCAAATTCAAGGCATTGGTATTTGTTATGTTTCCATTTATCTTGATTTTCTCTCTCCTAACGTCCTTCTGGGTCTATCCATTCAGTGGCAGAACCAAGGAATTCTCTATCCCTATACACATATAAGTTTGTGTGGAGTGAACGCGTACGTGAAGCCATGGTGAAAGCTGAGGACCTGGACTTGTGCTTTGGGAAGCTGATGATGGCTACTGCTGGGAAAAGTGATGAGGGATTGAAGATGGAGGGTGTGGTGATCACCGAGTGGAAGGATATTCCAATTGAGCTGCTGCTGAGAATTGTTTCACTTGTTGATGATCGGACTGCTGTTGTTGCCTCTGGTGTTTGTACTGGGTGGAGGGATGCTATTTGCTTTGGACTCACACAGCTCTGCCTCTCATGGTATATGTTCTTTGCCCTTTTCCCCTTTGATCTCTGTGAAATTATCACTACTTATGTGGTTATCCTTCCCCCCTCTTCTCTTTTCAAGGTCATCATCTTTGCTAGTTATATTTGTTAATTAGTTATTGTCTTTCCATCAGAAATAAGGTAAGGATATTGGGTCAGTTGAGGAATTGCAAAATTACTTGTGGAAGTAAATGATAACCAAACAGGTAAGCTTTTGGCTCTTTTCCTTGTTATTGGGAAGGATAGTTGAATGTAATGGGTTGGATTATTTATTTTCTTTGTCTCAATTAGGATTAAGTCTGAAGAGAATAGGGTGACAGTGAGAATTTATGACTTCAGCTCTCTTGTCTTAAAGGTATAATATCTTGCACTGCTTTTTGATGTATTGTAGCTTCCTTGATTCTCCTCCCTTTTTTTCTTTTTTTTTTTTTCTGTTGTTATAAATAGTGGATTTCCTTGATGTATGTCATAGTACAACGGTTTTAATCCCAACATCTCTCTAGATGCCATACTTGATGAAAGCATTGAATAACTCAATCTTTTCTCTTTCTGATGGAGGTCGAAGCTGGTTCTTTTTATTAGCATTTTTGTTTTTGGAATAGTTGAATATGATAAATCCGACACTGGAGAAGTGTCAAGTTCTGTGGGTCTATTATTTTTCCGTTCAGGGTTAATAAAGCCTTGGATAGACATTTGTGTGTTTGATCTTCATGAATAACTTGTTGACTACCTGATGCCATTAACTCTTTTTTCAGGTGCAAGAAGAACATGAACAACTTGGTTTTGAGTGTTGCCCCTAAGTTCAGGAAGTTGCAAACTCTGATACTGCACCAAGAATATCCACAACTTGAGGATAATGCTGTTGAGACAATTGCAAAATTTTGTCATGATCTGCAGGATCTGGACCTCAGCAAAAGCTTCAAACTTAGTGATTGCTCCCTGTATGCTTTGGCCCATGGTTGTCCTGATCTTACAAAACTTAACATCAGTGGATGCACTGCATTCAGTGATGAAGCCCTTGAATATTTGACCAAATTTTGCCAAAAACTGAAAATTTTAAACCTTTGTGGATGTGTTAATGCTGCAACTGACCGTGCATTGCAGGTATGATCGAGATTCTGAGTTATTGTCTGTTAGTTTTATTGCTAGTTAAGAAGGGAAAATGTAGAATTCTTGAATCTATTTGTGTAAAAACTATGCTCAGGCCATTGGACGTAACTGCGCTTTGCTCCAATCTTTAAATCTTGGATGGTGTCAGAAAGTGGGTGACGTAGGAGTCAAGAGTTTAGCATATGGATGCCCTGATCTCAGGAGCCTTGACTTGTGCGAATGTGTCTGTATAACAGGTATTTCATGTATTTGGTTCGTGGTTTTTTTTTTTTTTTTCCTTTATAAGTATACAGTCTTGCTTTGAACCTCAGAAGAATGAAAAGGAACCATTTATTTTATCGTTTAACCTTCTTTTTAAGATTTAACACAAATTAGCTTATTTCTAGTGCTTTCTTGGGGTTTGAGATGGATCCCGTGAAGTTCATTCTGGTGGTGTAGACAGTTCTTACTGCAGACTGTGATGGTCTATTTAAGCCTTAAAATTCTATCTTAATTATTTTCTTTTGTATTTTCTGATTGGTATAAATAGCATGCCTGATTATTGATTTTCCTAGAATGTGAATTGTGAAAAATAGGCAAGAGTTTTCAGGTGCCATTTTGAAGAAGTTTGAGCAACATTGTACTAACAGAATTTTTATCATGTAGTCAGTACATAAAAAGGATTGCCTGTACCCATTATCAAGAAAAAGCTATTCTATGTTTCATATAGAATCTTGATATTTCTTCTCTTTTGGGTAAGCACTGAACCAGTTTGATTTCTTAAAAAAGCTATAATTGATTCACTAATCCATCTTCCAGGGGAGAAACATCTAAAATAGAAGTCTCTATTTTTAAAACGTCTAATCAAATCATCAACTCATTTATCCTTAAGATTGTATTATATCTAGAACCTTAGCAGTTGTAGAGATTATCATTGCTACAGAAGTCAGTTGACAGTTTTAAAGTTGCAGACTGATGGCCTCCCCCACCCCCTCTCTTCTGCAGATGATAGTGTGATTGCTTTGGCAAACAATTGCCGTCACTTAAGATCACTTGGCTTGTACTTCTGCCGGAACATCACAGATAGAGCAATGTATTCACTGGCTCAAAGCCGAGTGAAGAACACGCCTGCAATGTGGCAATCCATGAAGGGGAGATATGATGAAGAAGGCCTCACGAGTCTCAATATAAGTCAGTGCACTGCCCTTACACCTTCAGCTGTTCAGGCACTATGTGACACATTTCCTGCTCTTCACACATGCTACGGAAGGCATTCCCTTGTCATGAGCGGTTGCTTGAACTTAACATCTGTACACTGTGCCTGTGCTGTACAAGCCCACCGCACTGTAAGCAATATTCCCTATCCTGCTCATTGAAAGGAACTAAAAGTAGTATATGTGCTTTTTGAGATGCCACTGTAGATAGGAAGTGTATTTAGACAGCTGTCTGGCTACAATTATTGTGGCCATTTTCTAGTTGGATAACATGGACTGTGCATGCGATGGACTCTTGTTGTCTGCCTTAAGTTATGAAGTATGCTGGATTCAGGCTTGTCAATGCTTTTCTGCTTCTCAAATCTTTGGTTTAATCGCATAAACTTGCATATCAGTCCTGATTCCCTTTCATTTTTGTATTTTGATTTTATTAAATCTTGGAAAATTCTATGTTTTTAACATATGGGGAAGAGGAAACTGGAATCCTAGTCTTTTGAGGGCCTAAGCTTGTTCGGGAATGGTAACAAGCCATCAAGATGGCATTTTAGATGACAGACGTAGATACTCAGCATAGAGTTTCTGAAATTTGTTAAGTTTCCCAAACTAAAATTTTCTTTGCAAAATATATTCTTTCCCCCCCTACAACAAGCAATTCTTGTAAGACACCCAAGCACAAGACTCGATGACCATCCGGAGGGCATGATCTTGGTTATCAGCTATCTTGTTTTTGAAGGCAATGCTGTAATAATAATGCTAATTCATCTTCCTTGCCTGACGTTGCTTTTGTATACAATTTCATCGTCATCAACGTCAAATGCTGGACTGCAAAGGCATCTAAAGAGTCTCCCAATACCCTGCAAGAGAAGTAACCCGTAATTAAACACTCTGCAAGTCCTATTGTTTTACGGTAACTGCATATAATACATAGGGAATGTGTGCGCAAAATGACATGCCATTGTAAGTAGAGGAGTTCGGTATGAAAGTGCTCTTGGTGAATCATCTTCACTGCTGCTGTCTGAGCTGCTCCTATCATCATCTATTTCAGCAATAGTTTTCCTCCTTGATGTTCTGTCGTTCTGTGCTTGTTTTTCCTGCTAGAAGAGCATTTGAGAAAGCACAAACCTCAATTTGGTTCAGCAAAATGATTTCACATTATTAAATTGTGTATGCTTTCCTAGGATGCTCATTGTTAATTCTAAGTTCAGTGAAAATTTCACACTTCTTTGTTATGCATGCATTGGTTGTACAAACTATGAAGTTCCAATATAATACTGGCAATCTATTGTCAAATATTGTAACAAATCTCTCACCTGAAATATCTTCCCAAGAATTTTCAGAGCCTGAGCTCGAGCTTTAAGTTCATCCTTTCTGACATTGTTTTCTCCGAGAACCTAGAAACCATATGTCAGATCAAAGAAATTTCTTCAATTTATCAATTCAAGGACGGTATACTAAAGAAAGCCTTGATCCAATTTCCTAATTTCCACACCAGAACAGGAAAGGTTATTTTGTTGGCCTGAAATGCTACTAAAAAAAGATGGAAAAGATGCTGGAAATTTTTAAGGGACAATCAGATGAAAAATATCACTGGACTGATAGATACAAACTCACCATTTGGCACACATGTACCAGGGTTACTTCAATATCCACAACATTCAATTTCCATAATGAGCTCATCAACGTATCTTTATTTAGACGTATGTGTGATTCAATATCATTCTCCGGGGCAGTACCCTCTGTTTTAAATTGTCGGCGGATGTCTTCTTGAAGTTGCAGTAACTGAAAGGCACCTGAATTTAGTTTCCAAGGATCAGATGCTGTAGAGTGGATACTGGGAAAGGAGAGTTATGGTTTTATAGATAAGTTACCTTTTGCTGCAGTAATCTGAGACTTCCAGAAGTGTCCTTTGTTGCGAACCCACTCAGCCACGAAAGGCACCCCAAGATAAAGTGCTTTCTTCCCAAGTTCCTGTGCTGCCTGTCTCGAGTAAATGTAGCCAATGGTGTGTAATATATCAAGTCCAAAAGCTGTGAATTCAAAGTACTCAACAATATTAGCATCACATATATTTTACACTTGGTAAAAGACTTGTAATGCATTAATTCTAGTTGTTAAATTCATTGGAACTTAGTATTGTAAGTCTGTAAAGAGCTTAGGACTTAAAAGTAGTACTTGTCAGGTGAATTTACCAGCATCAGATAGCCGTCTGGCTTCGGATTCTGCACGCTGTACAAATCCATGTTTGTCACCTCGGACATA